AAATAGGGGGATAACTGCCAAGATAGCCCGGGAGGGGTGGAGGAGGAGGGAAGCACCGGGTGGGGTGGGGGTGGAGATAAGTACAAGGACACACTGCACTTTAAAACTTTACAACTTATTGAAGGCCAGCCTTCTGTTGCTTGGGCAATCCTCTGGGGTGGAGTGGCTGGGTGGCCGGAGGCCCCCCCACCGCGTTCTTGGGCATCTGGGTGAGGAGGCAATGGAACTTGGGGAGGAGGGCTGTTGGTTACACAGGGGCTGTAGCGGCGGTCTGTGCTCCTGCTGACTTTTCTGCAGCTCAACCATACACTGGAGCATATCAGTTTGATGCTCCAGCAGCCGGAGCATCGACTCTTGCCTTCTGTCAGCAAGCTGACGCCGCCTATCCTCTTCAGCCCGCCAATTGCTCTCTTCAACCCGCGATTCAGCCCGCCACCTCTCCTCTCGTTCATATTGTGCTTTCCTGCACTCTGACATTGTCTGCCTCCACACATTCTGCTGTGCTCTGTCAGCGTGGGAGGACACCTGGAGCTCCGAGAACATGTCATCCCGAGTGCGCCTTTTTCGCCTTCTAATCTTCACTAGCCTCTGCGAAGAAGAAACATTTGCAGCTGGTGGAGGAGAAGGGAGAGGTGGTAGTTAAAAAGACACATTTTAGAGAGCAATGGGTACACTCTTTCACGTTCAATCTTGCTGTTCACATTACACAGCACATGTGCTTTCGTTACAAGGTTGCATTTTTTCTTATACTGAGGGCTTGCCGGTTTGGTGTGTGAGATCACTCATGCAGTGCCAGGCAACAGAATTCAGCTTGCAGGCAGCCATGGTAAGCCACAGTCTTTTGGCTTTTTTAACCTTCATAACATGTGGGAATGGCTTCAAACAGCAGCGCCCTCATTTCACATACCAAGCGGCCGTTGGGTTGGCCATTTAAAATGGGTTTGCAATTTAAAAGGAGGGGCTGCGGTTTCCGGGTTAACGTGCAGCACAAACCCAACTAACTCCCCTCCCCTTCCCCCCACCCCACACCCAATTCTCTGGGATGATCACTAACAGCGGGGAACATTTCTGTTCAGCAGAGCAGGAATGGGCACCTTTGAACGTCCCCTTAATAAAATCACCCTATTTCAACCAGGTGACCGTGAATGATATCACTCTCCTGAGGATAACAAAGAGCGATAAGGAATGGATGTTGTCTGCATGCCAGCAAACACCGGGACCATACGCTGCCATGCTTTGTTATGCAATGATTCCAGACTACGTGCTACTGGCCTGGCGTGGTAAAGTGTCCTACCATGGAGGACGGAATAAGGCAGCCCTCCCCAGAAACCTTTTGCAAAGGCTTTGGGAGTACATCAAGGAGAGCTTTCTGGAGATGTCCTTGGAGGATTTCCGCTCCATCCCCATACACATTAACAGACTTTTCCAGTAGCTGTACTGGCCGCGAATGCCAGGGCAAACTAATCATTAAACATGCTTGCTTTTAAACCAGGTGTAATATTTACAAAGATACACTCACCAGAGGTGCCTTGTGTGCCCTCAGGGTCTGGGAGCACACCTTGGGTGGGTTCGGGGGTAACTGGTTCCAGGTCCAGGGTGAAAAACATATCCTGGCTGTTGGGGAAACCAGTTTCTCCGCTTCCTTGCTGTGAGCTATCTTCAATGTTTTCATCATCATCTTCCTCATCCCCAAAATCCGCTTCCGTGTTTTGTGATTCTCCATTGACGGAGTCAAAGCACACCGTTGGGGTAGTGGTGGCTGCACCACCTAGCATGGCATGCAGCTCAGCGTAGAAGTGCATGTCTGCGGCTCTGCCCCGGACCTTACGTTTGCCTCTCTGGTTTTGTGGTAGGCTTGCCTTAGCTCCTTAATTTTCACGCGGCACTGCTGGGCGTCCCTGTTATGGCCTCTGTCCTTGATGCCCTTCGAGACTTTTTCTAATGTTTTGGCATTTCGTTTACTGCTACGGAGTTCAGCTATCACTGATTTGTCTCCCCATATGGTGAGCAGATCCCGTACCTCTCATTCGGTCCATGCTGGAGCTCTTTTGCGATCCTGCGACTCCATCATGGATACCTGTACTGATGAGCTCTGCGTGTTCACCTGGGCTCTCCACCACGCTGGGCAAACAGGAAATTCAAAATTTCGCGGGCCTTTTCCTGTCTACTTGGCCAGTACATCTGAGTTGAGAGCGCTGTCCAGAGCGGTCACAATGGAACACTCTGTGATAGCTCCCGGAGGCCAATACCATCGAATTTCATCCCCACTACCCCAAATCCAACCCGGAAAGGCCAGTTTCAGCGCTAATCCCCTCATCGGAGGTGGATTAAAGAAATCAATTTAAAGAGCCCTTTAAATCGAAAAAAAGGGCTTCGTCGTGTGGACAGGTCCAGGCTTAAATCAAGGTAACGCTGCTAAATTCGACGTAAAATCGTAGTGTAGACCAGGCCCAGGGCTATGTATCAAGCAGGGACCTGGAGTGGGGACAGAATTCCTGTGTGCCCAGGGCCAGAGTGTTTTCCCATGGTACTACTGAAAAAGCAGCATAGGGTCATGAGCTCTTCAAGCACAAAGACGTTGAGTCTCAGCACCTGGATCTCCAGTATCTCCAGCCTCATTAATACCAGTTGTCTTACCCAAACAAACTCCCACCTGGACCAATGAATACACCTTGCTTCCCACTTTACCTCTTCCCATGGTCATCTCCACCATTTCCTGACACCAGAAAACAACCATGTGGGTAATCAAGGGGAGGGAGGTCAGAGTGACAGTGTGTGAAGAGGGTGATGGGGTGTGGGGGAGCCAAAGGGAGCCATGCAGGGAAGTGGGCTGGAGGGGGAGGGAGGAGGCAGCTGTGTTTTTAGATATCTTGTAGCCCTGCAGAGCAAAAAACAGACGCTTTATACCTTTCTTAGGGGAGTTTCCCAGTTTTGCACTGTGGACACACACAACTTGTTTCTAGCCCTGGACATTCCCAAAATAGACCTTGAGCTCATGACATTTTATGTATAGAACACATCATTTTTAGAGGTATTTAGGGTAACTGGCTTTGCGGGTTGAGGGATATGAAATATAATTCCTGTATACTTTTTTTTTTAATCCTTTAAAAATATTTATAAAATGCTTTCCCATAAGATGCAATGTATACTTATCTCTTTTTTTCCTTCTTAATTAATGCCTGTATTTGGTCTATATATGTTAAAAAGATTCTGGGCTATATTAAATACCCCTCTGCTGAATAATTCCCTGTATTTGTCTCACCGTTTGTCTTCAGAGAGTGATTATACTGTGGAGTTCAAAAGAGACCCTTACTGCTGCCCTTGAGCATATACAAGTAGTATTTGAGGGATGTGATTGTTATAAAAGAAATAATGTCTCAGGCAGCTTTTATAAATAGAAAGGGGGTGAAATTACTAACATTAATGTTTTTTACCTCCTTTTGCCATTTTTTGTTTTAAACTGAGGAGGTAGGGTTTATTAATGGTTTGTTAATGTATTAATGGTTTATTCATTACTCATGAGAAAGTGACTGATAGCATTGGCTTGAATATTACTTAAGGTTTATTTTCCTCTCTATCATATAGCTTCTTTAACCCATAAATATTAGTTATATGTGCATTTGCAGAGGAGAATAGACCACTGCTTTGGGAAGGCCCAAAGCAAATTTCCCCTCAGTTAGTGCACATGTACTTCAGTCTCGTCATGCAATACTGCTATTATTGTAGTCCTGAGTATTTCCTGGGTAGATATTACCCATTGTGCTAGGTTATGGGGTGATTTTATAGCATAGATAAATGTTAATGGAAGATTAGACTAAGATAATATTGTGATGTGTGGTATAAATTGCCTTAATAGATCCATATGTAGCCCAAGCAAGATCTGAAGAAGTAAAGAGCTAGTGCATTTAACCCCACTGTGCATTCTCATCAATTAACATAAACTAGTTGAGGAGAATTCTCTCTTTGGAAATGCTGGACAATATATGAAATTATTCTGGCCTTTTAAAAATTCCTGCTCCACTGATAAAAGGTCAAGGATTAAAAGATATTTAAAGCAATATAGCAAAATATAATGTAAACTGGTAATAATTCTCAAATTGAAAATGATCCTTCTAATCCATACTCTGTTCTTTAATGAACACATTATCAACTTCATGTATGAAGAATAGCTGGCTCGCTAACCTCTAAATCTGATGTAAAATTAATCATGTAGAAATTAGCTAATTGCTCATCACTTTGGGATTGCCCCTTTGATTGAAACAAACAAGCCAGACAATGGTGCTCTTGTGAGCAGTATGTGTGTGCCAAAGGCATAGTGCCTCTCTGAAATGACATTTTTTTAGGATATTTAGCTATTTTATTGTCCACTTACTGTGTATTATTTCATTTTCTTGACAGATTATGTCCAGGCACTGTTCGGACCACATTTCAGAATTCGCACCTCTTGCCTCTCTGAAGAACCCAAAATATAGGAGCAATTCCCCAGCCAGGAGGTCTAATTCTCGTTCTAAAAAAAGGATGTTTACGCACTGGAGAGGCAATGATTATTCAATACTTCCATCTATCTTTGGCTATTCAAATAACCGTTGCAATTCCAGTGCAAAATACTGCTACAGTAGGTCAGGTTTGGAAACATCCGTATGACAGATCACCAATTCAAGCCTTTAAGAACTGCATTTTTCTTTCTTTTTTGCAAAAACAGGAAACATGTCACAGAACTGTACTAAAATACACTTGGCTTTTCCTGTCTGAAATAATGTTCAGACAAATAGGATCAAGAGCTATAAGTCTGAATCTTTCCAGGCCTGTTGGCCCCTTTTTTATGTTTTGAACTGCTGCAGCAATGAACAATCCGCACAGTCTGGTACTGTGAGACTGATAACACTAGAAATTCTCTTCATGCTGTGTCAAGACGTTTGTGCGTTTGTTGCTTCTGTTGTCATTAGTCATTTTCTGTATTAGTTGAAGTGTATAGTTTTAGTCAATGACCTACATTTTGAGATCAACAGTTTCAATTTTCAGCCAGAAGCAATGACCTCAGATAACTCCAGTGAAAGTCACTTAAAGAATATTTAACAAGTGCTGCTTCTGATTTTCCTCTGTACTTTTTTCTTTCTTTGCTCTTTCTGTAGAACAAACTGGTGTTTCCTCTGTGCAAATCTCTACTATTCACTTCCTTGTAAGTGGCCAAATCAGGGCTAGTATGGTTTTAAGGTAGTTTCCCCTGTAGAAAGGTAGACAAAATACATTTTGCTTAGACTAGATACACACCATATGGAGTCAAGCTGGCTGTCAAATACATAAAACCATCATTATTGATATTTACTCGGTTACTGAATTTAAGAATTTAGCCTAAAATATCTGAATTTAAGAATAAATTAACCAGTGTTCCTATCACCTAGCTACCTCTCTGGAAAAGTGTATGTGCATGATTCTAAAGTATACATATTAGAAAGTATTGGTGGGTTAAGCTTTTTCCTGTCAATGATAGGAAATAGTTGTTCATAACCAATCTTTTATGCTACTCAAATAGGATTTTTTTAATATCTCCATTTTTGGTCTTTGATTCTTATTTTAACTTAATGGCTAATGGATCCACTATATGTATCTCATTATGAAGAAGCCAGTATACGTTTGTTAGTCTTTTGAGACATAACCACTAGATGGCATGTATCTATTACTATCAGGCTGGCTCCAGCATTTCTGTTGCTCCAAGCAAAAAAAAAAAAAGCCGCGATCGGCGGCGGCAGTTCAGCGGTAGGTCCTTCGCTCCTAGAGGGAGTGAGGGACCTGCTGCCCCCGAATTGCTGCAGGTGCCGCCCCTCTCCCTTGGCCACCCCAAGCACCTGTTTGTTAAGCTGGTGCCTGGAGCCAGCCCTGATTACTGTGGGTTAAAACATATTTCTGGTAGAAATGAGTCTGACTACAAGATGTATGAATTATTTAAAGCATTACAGCCAGCTTGTGCTTCCAATTTCTCTGCAGCATTAATTTTACCCTGCACTGGTTTTACTTAGATATGTACTTGCTTGGTTTTTGTCCAGTGTTTTATTTGGGGTGTAAAAATGCTTCAAGATTTAATCTAATACTGATCAATTTTAATGTACCCATAGTTAATAACAGATTAACAAGCATTTCCATGAATGCTTCTGGCAGGCCATTAGTTAAAAGTTTATTTCTAAATGGAAACTAAGTTTTTGGGATGAGAGCTGCTGCCTTTATTAGAAAACTTGACCAAGGCATTGTTTGCAGACTTTTTAATGCTGTAGGTAAGGGGGGAAAGGGGAGGATTTCATTTTGTGTAAAATAACTTAGAAATACATGTTTTTTAAAATAAAAGTAAAATCAGTTCACTAGGAAACGTTTCACACAAACATTTCCAATGAACTCTTCATAAGAACCAGTGACCTACTGTTAAGAAACACTGGGGAAAACAGCTAGAATTTTTAAAAAGTGAATTGTGAAAACTTCATTATACCAAAGATTAGGGAGAAGAAGAGAAAAGTCTGACAACCTCATTCATTGCCCTAAAGAAAGATATTAGGGCATCTTTACCATTTAATATGTAGCAGTTTTCAGTTTCAAACAATGCCATCATATTGGTCACATACTGTAATATTAATAAATATAAATATATTTATATTTGCCATTGCATACTTGAATGTTGGTCAGTTAGAACTGTCCCCTACATAAAACACTGGTGTATATATTTTTTAAATAATCTTATATGGGTATAAGTTTTATACCAGTAGTAGTGACAAATTTCCTGTGTGCAGTTAACAAATTATTTGTAATATATTTTTTAGAAATCTTAAAATTGCCTTTGCACTGAAATATTTTTCATACTATAGCTATTTATAGGTCTGGTTTATGCATATATCTGTTAACACACCATTTTTATTATTTTTAAATATCTGTTTTGAAGGCTCTTTTAATATTTTTGAGTTTTGGCCACTTAAATTTTAGCTGACAGAGGAATTGTGGTTGAATGTTAAAATTCTAAAGAATGTTTAAATTAGAAATTTAGGTCTCTTGCTCTATCAGTCTCACCCAAACTACTGATGTTTTGGTGCTGTTTATTATAGTAGTGATTAGTGTGATACATTTTCTGCTTATATACTATTACTCTCACTTTTTTTATTCTGTAAAGCCTCATCCTTTTTGATTTTTTTCTCATTTCCATCCTTCAGCCTTAAATAAGAAGACTCTTGCTTGATCTTGAAAATGCTTCATTCCTGCGCTGCCTACTAACAAAACAGTTTACTGCAACCTTCTTACAGCCCAACTCTTACCTAGAAATCATTGACAGAGATTTTATACAGGCTGAAACACTTTGTGTTTGGGGAGTTGTTTAAAGGACAAAATAGTTTTTTTAAAATATGTCATTTTCAGGAGAGAGAGAGAGATGTTTTGCATTTACTAAGTCAGAGCAGAAATATCTATTTAAAACTTTTAATTAAATAATTGTACTATATTTATCTGCAAAAATATGCCATCTAAATGAAAAAGGCATATGTTCTCAAAATTAATTGACACTTGATACATCTTTGTTTCAGTCCCTTGTTACTATTGCCAACCTAGTCCAGTGCAGCAGATGTTAAACTCAAGAGTTTCATGGTAAATGGATCAGATAGGACACACATGTAAATGTAAGTTATATCTAAATAACATTAGAAGGAGTATTATTAATGGGACATGGTCATTTTATAGACTTTTGTTTGATGAAAGAAATTTCAGGAAGAAGATAAGAACAATCTATATAACTTCTTCACTTGCCTTGTTTAAATTGTTGCAGCTTTAACAACAAAATATCTCCATAACTGCTTTTATAAATGTATTGGCATTGGTAGGCACCAACCAAATGTTTGTGAAGACTTAGAAAGTATTTCAAGTTTCTTAGCTACTGAAGTTCATGTATTCCTGCAGTGAGTAGTAGCAAAATACTAGAATCATTTTCATTGTATGGTACACAATAATTAATATTGTTTGTTCAACCGCTTAATATAAAAGCTTACAGTTTACTTTCTTGCTTGCATTAGCCTGTTTGTCTTGATCCCACTGGCTTGCAAGTATAAAAGGAAACAAGTTTAATTGAGGAACTGCACTATTTTGGAAAGCCAGTGGGGTCATTGTGATCATGCTATTGTCTGTTAACAAAGCTTTAATGGAAATTTGTCAAAGTATTATGAAAATGTAAGTATACAAGATTCTACTTTGCAGAATAATCTAAAAATCAGTTTATGTAGCTTTAATTTTTTACCATATGAAAATATACAGACTTTAAAATGTGGTGTTTCTGACTTGTTATATTGTATGCATATACATACTGTCACGTAAAATGTCCTCATTATATAATGTAAAGTAGAAGCTGCAAAAGTGCTATTGGGAATGGGGGGAGTTATCAGTGCATTAAACATTAAAGATGTCTGTAGTTATCTGCACCAAATACTGACATTTATTTTTAATTGTACAATGATAGGTGCATTTATCTGAAAATAAATCAGCCTTCAAATCTAACTTTTAGATTATCCTATAACACTTCATTCACCTAACCTAAACAGTCAAATAATCATACATTACTGTAAAGTTTATTTTCAATGCTATTTTTAACTTTCATTTCTATAGATACCCACACATAACTTGTTTATGTATACTCATTCATATTTTGGACATTTCCATAGACTATATAAGCAGGAGATACGAATCTGTTTGCAATAAAATAAAAATTAAAGACTGGTTTAGCTTGTTGATAAGCAATTAAAATCATTTAAGGGTCAATATGAAATGATTTCTTATTAACCTGTAATAAACTGTAAGTAGATAATAGAATAATAAAGTAGTGTTTGAATCTGTTACTGATATGTTTGTACTCACATTTTATTTTAGTCGTCTGATTGTGCCAGCTTCAGTGAGCTTTGTTCATCATGATCAAGACTTTTTTCTTTCACAATAGTTTGAAAAAGGTGTTACATTTTTAGGAAGTGTATGTAGCCAGAGGAGGAGCAGAGTGATAAAAGTGAGAGTTCACTCAAGGCTTAGGTTTAAACACAAAATCACTCACTCTGGATTGGTTTTATTGCAGAGGTTCTGGGTTAATACAAATTGGCACCAGTTTGGCAAAGCTTTGTTCCTTCCATGCAGTTTTACAGCCAGCAAGCTTTAAAAAAATTTGAAACCAACCAAAACTATAAACCACACCATGTAGCATATATTTTCCCCTAGAATTCCTTGCCCTGGAAAACCAAGTTTTCTACCCCATGAGTAAAACCCTTCTTTTGAGGTAGGTAGGGTACTACCAAATTCATGGTCCATTTTGGTCAATTTCACAGTCATAGGATTTTAAAAATAATAAATTTCATGATTCTAGATATTTAAATCCCTGAAATGTCACCGTGTTATAACTGTAGGGGTCCTAACCCTACTCTGAAGGCAGGAGCGCAGAAGTAAGGGTGGCATGGTATG